GATGAAAATATTTCTTTAAACTCTAATATAGATTCAATTTTAAATAATCATTTATTATCATTTAAAATTTTAGGAGCAAGCAAGGTCAAGTTAATTAGTGGGTGTCAATGAAATATCGTCCAAAGGTTAATCGGTATTATTGTAATCGTAAATGTAAAGCCGTTAAACAAGCTACTTGAGTTGTTTTGCAAATAAACCAAAGCGCATTTGCAGTAAACGGTTGAAATAAAAAATCAATTACAAATGAATAAAAGGGAACTTTATAGTATTACCATCTTTATTTATTTACAATTTATCTGGTGCCATTAAGTGTGTTCACAGATTCGTCTAGGTACAAGAAAGAGGGAACCAAAGTAAATTCGTAAACTAATTAATTGACAAGTATCAAATTATTTGCAATTAACTGACAAGAGTAGCCCAGAAGTTAAGTCATAATTGTTAATTAACCTCGCAATATCATCATTTAACAAAAATCAAAAAAGGATTTAAAATAGATAGACAAAATATTAAAGCAGTCCATAAGGTATGCGTTTGCATTTTAGCATTTGTAGATTGATTTGATAATGAAAAATTTTGATAAAAATTCTCTAAAAAAATAATTACCTAGATTATATAGCATATTTTGGACCATTAAGTAAACTTCCAGGTCCAAAATTATTTTTCTTGTCAAGATTATTTATATCTTTTCAACAATTTACCGGTAAAAGGTATGTGTGCACATAGATATAGGTATAGAATGATGTAGATTTCTAAATTTGATATGGTGTAAAAATCAAAGCAATTAATTTTTTTTAAAACGACAAATAATAATACACAACAAAGATGGGAATTCATACAATTTAAAATCATTCCAAAATATGGTAGAATAGTTAGGCTTGGACCAGAACTTGTCTTAATCGCAGATAAGGATTTAATTAAAGATGTAAGTAAATATCTCTTTTATTAGCGAGTAATATATATATATTAATATTACATTAATTGATTTTTCCAAATTTTGTAAATAGATAATTAATATTCTTATAGAATAAAACTCTCTGATAGAATTATTTTTATTAAATAAAATTAATCGTTAATCAAATAAAAATAAAAATAAAAATAAAACCGATATCTTTATTTTCTTTGTTGATAAAAGCAACAGGTGTGGTTAGTGCCTTGGTAAAAGGTAACAATTGTGTGGTTTTGATAAAAAGCCACGTTTATTTACTTTAGTGAGCAAGCAAGGTCAAGTTAATTAGTGGGTGTCAATGAAATATCGTCCAAAGGTTAATCGGTATTATTGTAATCGTAAATGTAAAGCTGTTAAACAAGCTACTTGAGTTGTTTTGCAAATAAACCAAAGCGCATTTGCAGTAAACGGTTGAAATAAAAAATCAATTACAAATGAATAAAAGGGAACTTTATAGTATTACCATCTTTATTTATTTACAATTTATCTGGTGCCATTAAGTGTGTTCACAGATTCGTCTAGGTACAAGAAAGAGGGAACCAAAGTAAATTCGTAAACTAATTAATTGACAAGTATCAAATTATTTGCAATTAACTGACAAGAGTAGCCCAGAAGTTAAGTCATAATTGTTAATTAACCTCGCAATATCATCATTTAACAAAAATCAAAAAAGGATTTAAAATAGATAGACAAAATATAAAATGCCCTTAAAAAAATGATAATAGTAAGAGGTGTTCATACACTTCTTTAAAATAATAAAAAGCCTAATGCAAAAATTTTAATAATCAGATGAACAAAATTTATTCATAAATCTAATTCCATTTGATTAGAATCTATAAATAACAATTTATAACATAATAAAAATAATATTAATGTTGAAATTGATATTTATTTTAAAATTATAAATAAATAATGATAATTACCATTCAAATTCATTTGATTAAAATCTATAAATATGATAAGAATAATATTAATATTGATATTGATATTGACATTGTATTTATGTTGAATTTAAATCAATAATCAAATAATTACCATTATTAATACTATTTAAATCAATTAGATGAGAAACTATAAAATGATTTAAAAATAATATTAATGCTAATATTGAATTTTAAGATTAACAATCAAATAATTGATGATAATTACCATTATTATTACTAATAATTGTAACTTTATTGGAGTTTACAGGTTGAGGAAGATTTGTAAAATTCAATAATCTACTTGTATAAACAGCATTT